AGTGGTCTATGACAGACACTACAAACCTGAATATGAAGATCCAGATATTAAATACAAAATTCTCACTCAAAATAATTAATACTCTGAGCAACATAAATAACCCAAGAATTAAATCAAAGCTGTGGTTATTTTGAAGCACAACTGCCAATGCATGGTTTAGTTTGCTAGGAGGAATTCTATTCTTTTGCAGTGACTGGTTATAATTTGACAAAGCTATTACTTGATCATTCTTTGCATGAGTAAATTGGTAAGTGTAGGAGTTTGTTTTAAAATAAATGTGTCAACATACTGCATGCAATGCTAGTTTTGGTTTTCAGTGAGCAAAAGGGAGCAGTCCATCCCTGCCTGTATGCAAAATTTTTCCATAATTAAGCCAGGAAAATGTTTGTTTTTCACACACAATGTTTCACATTATCTTGGCTTCTATTTCTGCCCTTTTTTTGTATAAATACAAACCAGAAAACTACAAGGGCATAAAATCTGAAATAGTTCAATATTTTGTTCAATACGTTCAAAGTATATTGTATCTATAATGTTGTTTTCTTGTGCTGTTCTTAAAACACAGTTTTCCTAGTCTTTATTGTTGGAACAGTTGTACTGTTTCTTAGATGTTTGCAGTGTCACTGGAATATCTGTTTATTGCTAAACTCTCAATTTAGTATCTTTGAAATAGATGAAGCATACAGTGTGACCAGTATGGTTGCCAAGACTACTGAAACCTGCTGGTTTTAAAGGAAAGGTATTACTGTAAGCTCACAGAAAGATTGCAGATTTGCATAAGAAACAATAACATTGAAATTTGTACAATTTCTTGCATCATGTATATTTAAATCTCAATGTAATCTTAATTTTCCAGTATGCAAGAGAGTGGGAGCTGAGGTATTTTAGCCTGTGGAATCCTGCTTCTGACAGACCAAAATACCAAAGTAACATAGTTACAAAATTGCTAATAAAGTAACATAGGAAATACTTCCTTTTAAATATACACTGATGGTTTATTTTGCTCAATAATAGTTTTACTGCTTGGAGGTGCAAAGCAAAGATAAGAGAAATAACCATGTCTGTTAAATGAGCTTACTTTAGTCACATCGGCTTGATTCCTGTCTTGCAATTTAACGTTCAGTGATGGTCAAAGTGGTGTAATCTGCTGAGGGCCAACAGAGCATTGCACACCCTTCCCTTCCACTTTTCCTTTTCTGTATGAGAAAACTCCTAAATACAGAACTTTATTTAATTGGGATCAATTCAATAACTGTTAAAGATTTCCTTGTTGAAGGTGAAAGGTATTTTAACTAGCAGTGATGTTACCAGTTCTGTTTCTGTGCTCTGCTCTTTGAGGCTGGATCACCTCTCTGAGTTTAGGTTGTTCTTTCTTTGTTCTAGGTTCCATTATATAGATTATGTAAAGAATTCAACTGATATCTGTAGTTATTCCAGCTTTGGAACAGTGCATATTTTCATTATATGACAATGCTTTCCCCCTTATTTTTGTACCATTCTATTAAATATAACATAGGAACAAAGTTATATTATCTGTGCATATATCAGTACAAAATTAAGAACTTGCCTTAGGAAATGATTATTTTTGAAGTGCCCTGTCAGTGCATTACACGAACAGGAATTTGTCAGATTCCTTATGTAGGTTCCAACCCCCATCTGGGAAACCTATAATAGAAAACCTGTTTTTCCAATGTTTTATTTCTTTGAGATTCTTGCTCAGGCATCTTGTATCTGGCCTAGTAGTGAAGAAGAAGACATCCCCTACTGTAGTACAAAGAGCTTTGTAGTTTGGATTCTTCTTGCGTAGGAAGTTCCCGACTGGTGAAAATAACACATGTTTATGGGAGATAAATTCCTATATGTGCTTAGGAAATCTGACCTGCAACCTCCTCCCTAAAAGAGCAAGTGAGAAAATATGGCAGCTATGCTTTCTTTAATTATTCTTAATCAAAATCTTATGTTGCACATTATGGACTTGTATCAGAGAAAAACATTGCTGAACCAACCAGTAAATGAACTAGAAGGGGAGAGGTTTAGAAGGGAGGCATTTCTAGCCCTTTTTGGCCATCTGAGGGCTGTATTAAGACACAGCCAGCTTTGTTCCAGTATTTCAAAGGTTAGCACACAGAAGGTAGCTGTGAGGATAAGTGTACCTGAGATAAGTGTAGAGACATGCCTTGGAAGTGCAGGGTGAAGACAGGAAAGCCAAAGCTCGGAAGTGGTGCAATTAGCGTGTGAAAGGTACAGAGCACTGTGGTCCCAAAACCACAAACTGTTATATTCTCCTTCTCCTTTCTTCCTGCCCTTACTATGAGTTTGTTGTGCAGGGCTTCCCCCCACTCCTGGCTGTTAAAACACTAGGAGGAGTTGAAAAAGGTACCCTTTCAGATGAAGAAGTAAAATGGAAAATGTTACCTCTGAACTCGTTTGTGGTTTAGTCTGTTTGCCAAAAAGCCAATTTCCACCCCTAATCATGTGGGAGGGGAAGCCCATAACGGATTTTCATTTCTCTCCTGAGTTGCTATGGTACAACCACTGTTCCTTTTGCAATGTAATTTGGCATTCACTATCTTTGGTGCCAAGATAAAACCATTACTGTAGCGCTGCCATTGTTTTTATTCCTTCTCCAAAAGCTTACTTTCTGGTGACTTTGTGAATATTCATTACATGCTTGTTTTGTTGCAGAGGAGTTGATACATTAGTTCATCTTGACTGATGCCCTTGACTAGAAGATAAATAGCAAAGTAGAGATAGGTGACAAGGATTGATTAGCAATCCAGCTTCTAAGCCAAAACATAAACACTTATAGATAAGCCGAGCCTGCAGAATGCACCTTGATGGAATTAAGAACACATTTTAAGGTGCAAGAGGAGTTTTCTGTGCCTGCCAAGATACAGATCTTCATTTGATGTTTCTCTTCAACACTTAAGTTCACCAATGGTTTACTTCTCAGAAAATGAGTTTCCAAGTTTTGAAGGAACAATCACACATTCCATTAAAACAAAGTAATAACTCTTTACAAGAGTGCAAATTATAATTTGGACAGTGAAAGGTACTTTTGTTAAACTGAGCTTGAACAAATATAATTGTACACTTGCAGAAGTTTTACTTAATATTTTTCCTTTGCTGCAAACTTGGTGGGCTGTTTCAGATAATGATCTGTCAGTCTAGTGAGTGGTGAGGAAAGGGTAAATAGGGACTGATGTGCCCCATCCCTTATGAGAGACATTGAAACTAGATGTTCAAATCCCAAGCTGAATTAAATGCTGCTTTACTGGCAGCTAAATGGTGGGGTTTTCTGCCAGGGGATATTGGATGTCCTAAATACACATGCATACAACAAACAATTAGACAAATTTGGTGTACACAAAAGAACTGCAGGCGCCTCAGTCCTGGGGAGTCATAAATTGCTGGGACACAGTGCCAAACAAATACTATAAGCTCATTGTGTGTATTCTGTATTAGACATCTGTTCTTGTTGCTTCTCGAGAGGTGGCATAGTTGGTCTGTTGGACTGTTGGTAGGACCAAGAATGGTTGTCACACTGTAAAATCTGAAAATAAGGTTGTCTCTGCTTTCTGTGATCAAAGCTGGAGCAGTCTGTCTCCTGCCATGCCACCCAACATTGCAGGTCATTGCCAGTTGTCACTGCTGCTCTCTTAAAAACAGTGCAAGCTGGCACTGTCATCAGAAGAAATTGTTGTGCACCCGGTCCCCAACTGCTAGGTCCTGCTATCCCCACCTGCAGCAGTAAGACCAAAGGGAAGAACACTATGAGAACAAGCAGCAGAACCACCTCTTCCAGTAGCAGTCTTAGCTCAAAGGTCTTGTTTGTAGAGTTTGGCAAATATGTCAGAGCATCTTTCCAAAAATCACATGCTTTTTTTTTGTAGTCAGTGACTTTTTGGGACAGCAACACACTGGCACACTGCATGACTATGGTCACCTGGGCTGCTGAGGGTGTTGTGGGTTGTACTATGAGTAGTTCCCCTAAAACATCAGCTTGTTGCTTTTTGGCTGGAGCACTGTATGCAGACCACTTCTTCATTTGTCTCTAGGCTATCATACAGATATTTTGACGCAACTAAGGAAAATGCATAAATGGATTTGAAAGTCAGTGAAGGTTAAATTTTACTGTCACACGGAAATGATTTCCTGATGAGCAGTCTCTGATACCCTAGCCTGACAAAGAAGGATCCGACTGAGCTTTATACTTTTGCTATCCAAGCTTTTCAGATGATTTCTTATGTTCTTGCCTTATCTCTGTAACTGGGGGGTGAAAAAGAAACTCAAAACCCCCCAAATCGTCCTCAGGTTATATGAATATTGTGAGTACAGCATATATATGCTTGCTGTCAGCACATGCTTACTAAGAAACGCAGGATGTTATACCTAAGTGCTTCATTGTGCAGTCTGTCAGTACTCAACAGCACTGTGCTGGAAAAGGATACTGTTACCCAGGCTTTACAGAAAAGAAGGTCACAGAAAACTGGGTTGTCCAAGTTTTTGGTACAATTTAGGAATGGAACTCAGGTTCTCCATGTCTTGGCCTAAGCAGCCTGTCTAGCGTACTTCTGCATCTTTCAAGCTGTCCTGCTCTTGCACATCTCTCTTCTTTATTTCCTTACCTCTTTACAAACAAGGAAGGAGAGAATGAAAGCATGGGAAAATGCGTACCTGCAAACCTAAGAAGGAAGGAGGATTTGGTAGCTTTCACGTAGACACACCGTAGCTGACTGTCTCCATAAACAAATCAGGGTTATCACATTCTATGTTTATGCAATAGAAATAACACAGAATTCAGGATCAACAAAGCATGCAAAAAAGAAAAAAAGTTGCTGTCCCAAATGATACAAACAGTCCTTTCTCCTGTGACCTCATTCCACTTGCATTTTCCTGGTACATTGTGTGCCAATGCTCTCTGGCTGTGCTGGAGGTGGGTGGTGGGTTTTGTACATATTGCTTTTAAAATTAATTGTCTACAAAATTTCTCTTTTCAGTTGTATATGAGCACAGGTCAAGATTAGAAAAGTCATTACAAAAGGAAAGGCTTGAACACAAGAAAGCGAAAGAAGGTAAAAATGCGCTTTTCACTTCGGCATTTGAGATCACTTGACTATTTTAGAAAGTAACTTCAGATGGATTTTGTTTGATTTTAAACAATTTATCAACATATAACATGTTAGCAGGTTAGCAGGACCACCTTGGCAGAGCTGTGGTGATTTTTTTAAGTAAATCTATCTGTTCGTTTAATCCAACCTTTTTAAAAAGTAATAATCTTTTTAGTACTTTTTGCAGATCCCTGCAACACAGCCTAGTATACACAGAGGATATGTGTATATCGATGTACATAAACCTGACATATATGTGGAGTATGGGTGTGTGTAAATCCTGTTCTGGCATGCTGAAAATTTAAAACTTGTACCAAAACCATGGGATTTTTTCCTCCATTCTATCACTGTGAAATTAGACTCTCAGTCAGTATTTTCACACATACTTCCATACCTTATTCTGACTAAAACTAAATTCAAGGTGTTTGTATGGGGGAAATGTTTGTACGCATCTTACTCCTTTCACATCTGCCTTCTATGAAACTCCAGCAGAATGCAGCCTCCTGAGTTTTCTCAGAGTCTTTTGTTGTTCTAAATTCACCACAATTTCCAGAGTAAAGTCTGTATTCTTCCTAAAACTGAGGACTAAGCCGCTGAATTAAAACAACTCCTAAGCAAAGATTAAGAGCGAGTAACTACGCTTACAGTGCAGTTCTCGATGGCTTTCTGGTGCCATCTAGTGTAGAGCTGTCCCATCGCTATGTGATGTTGAGTCGGTGTTTTCAAATCCTGAAAAGAGGATAAAGGCACAAGAGAGGAATTTTTTGTTTCGTTTAAACTTAGCCTAGACTTTCACATTTCTTAAAGTATATGGGTTTTTATTCTAATACAAGAATACACGATTTATAAATGTCTTTTTCCTTCTGAATGATACTACTGGGCCTTCACTGGGAGAGTTCATATAACAGATTTATTTACCCATCCATAGTCTTGAGCCTGTACTCCCATATCTCACACTAAGATATGAAACTATTTAATGAAAATATTTTATGGCACTATAAAATTTTTAAATGAAAATATTTTTTCAGAATGTGAACATTTCGTTAAATGCTCTGTAGGTTGGTGGGTTTTGTTGTTTGTTTTTTTTTTTCTTTAGCTCATTTGGAAAATTAACTGCATAAGTATCCAGATCTTGAGAGCGTTTGTATGCAACAGTTACATTATTTAAGTACAGTTTCTAATTTCCTGGGTTTTTTTTCATCAGTATTTTCCCTTTTATGTTACAGATTTTCTTGTTTATAAACTAGAAGCGCAGGAAACACTAAATAAAGGAAGGGTAAGTCATCATTCCTAGTACAAGCTTTTAATATTTGATGCTATTTAAGTTGCAAGAAAAAGGGAATGCTTTGCAATTATAACTCTTCAGAGGAAAAGGTCTTACAAAAAACTAATTGAAAGAACTCTTACTTCTACTCTGCACGTCTAAGTGCTCTGCAGTTCCTCATCATTTGAGCTGTAGTAGGAAATACTAATATTTTTTCCAGAAAATTAATTTAGAAAATATCCTCCTGTTTATATATGGTAGTTCAAACATAATTTTACTATTTTTAAGAGGAAGAAGGAATAAGAAGTCATTAGAAATATTTTTGTAGCTTAGTCCACAGAGAAAAGGACAGTGACAACTTTCTAACGCATGGTCTTTTAACTTGAAAGTACAAAAACATCAAGAAACTTTGTTTTATATACCAAGTGCTGGAAGGAAAGCTGTATCTGGCAAAAGACCCAGAAACCTGTAAAGAACTCATTATAAAAGCAAATAAATTAGGATTTTATGGCTACTATATGTTGAAACTGGGTAGCAGTTTGTGAACTGAGTAACCCAAGCTAAAATAGATTGTTGCTGCAGTAAGTGCAAAGTGTGTATGTTCTTGCTATGTTCCAAAGCAAGTAGAAAAATTTGTTTCCTAGGGAGTTATGTCCTATGGCTTGTGACTCCTAAATAACTGCATGTAGAGAGGTTAGAGGAATGATAGTATTACTCTGTTCAACACTAGTGTTTTCATTTTACAGCAAGACTCAAATAGCCGGTACAGCGCACTGAGTGTACAACACCAGATGTTGAAGGTAAGTACCTGAGATAGCCAGTTTCACAGGACGCGGTCATTCTGCTACATCAGAGAGATAACTGCCTTACTGGCTTCTGGTACTTCACTCCATAATGTCAGTGCATTAATGGTGCCTTTCTCTTACAACAGTACTGTTAAAAGATGATTTACTACAGTTTTTCCTAGTCAGGCTTTCCAGTGGGTAATTTAGTCTTATCAAATGTATTACTTCTATGGAATGCTGACTGATCAGACTTTACGTAGTTTGGCACGTAAGGCATTTCTTACACACATCCGGCAGCTCCCTGTGGGACAGTGCAACAGCAAGGTGAGGTGATGCAGCCCTAGAACAGACTGCTCATTGCAGAGATAATTTTGAGTTAGGAACTGTGATATACATGCTTTGAATAATAAACTTCTTGTTATGAATGCTTCCTATTCATCTGGACTTATTTAACAAATTGCCAAAGACAATATTAGGTAGATATACAGATACAGCACTGTTCCAGTGTCCCAACTTGGTATTTGCAGAGTCAACATGAAGAATTAAAGAAACAGCATGCTGACCTTGAGGAAGATCACCGAAAACAGGGAGAAGAGTTTAGCAGAACATTCAGTGATCACAAGGAACGATACTTACAACTGCAGCAGGAAAAAGAGCAGGAGATCTCTAAGCTAAAGGGTATATGTAACCTGTGTCTGGCTGCCCATATTAAAATGTGTATTTGTCATTATTTTTTGTGTGATGTGAGACAGAAAGGCATTTTCTCTATTCTCACTAACAGGTTATTCATGCATCTTAGTACCTCCTAATAAGTTACATTTTATTGATGATTTTCTGGGGAGTCTTTCTGAAATGTATTCGTGTGCTTCGTATTTCTATCTACATTAGAAAAATAGTAAGAAACACAGCACATAAAAACCCATCAGGTGTCAGAGGCTGGTTTATCCTGTTTTTAATTTTTACTTCTAAGACTTGTATAAACCTGGAAAATAGGTTTGCCTCTTTATTAATTTTTTTGTAATTCAAAGGCAATGGATGAATATTTGTCACTTTGGTCAGACAGCTAATTGTGCCTCTTTATGAAGTGACTTTATATACATTTTAGGCCTTATTTTCTCTATATATCAGCTTCTCTGAAACATGTTGCACCTGTATACTTAGATGATGAAACTAATTTATTTTTTTATTTTTACTCTTGGTATCCATCTTTGCAGTTTGCAGGCCTCTTCAACCCTACACAATTGCATAGAACAAAAGGATAGGGTTCTCCCTGTGAAAGGCCTTCAGCCACTTTCTGCCATGTGTCACTAACAGATGAGTTAGTTTTGAAGCTGTCTGCAGTTTTGTCTGTACAGTATTTTGCAGGCAGAGGCTGTGTTTATTAGTTCTGCCTTGGCACCACACCAGTGAAGTCATACAGCTAGCTAGCTCTTGGACTGAGCTGGATTGCAGCCTAGCAGCTTGGAGTGTGGGGAGAGCTTGCCTTTGTCTGCTTGCAATATTCTACATCAACATAATGTCAGAACTGGGAAGAAAAGCCCCTCTCCCTTGTCCCAGAACGTAAAGCTTTTTAAGTATGCTGGCCATCTGGGCACCCCTTCCAAAAGAATAGTTTAGCCCTGCGACATGAAATTATCATTCACCAGATGTGATGTGGGGGAAGAGAGGAGGTTGGCTTCCTCTCTGCCCTTTAAAGATTCACATTACCATAATGAATTTTGTTGTCAGCAGTCCCCAGCATGAACAGTGATGTGTGATTCCAGTTGTGGACTGGATGCACTAGTATAAAATTTAAACAAATTTTTACGATTTTATGCTTGAAAATGTAAAGCTTTTTATAGGGCTGGGGAGAGATATAACATAAACCATATACATAATCCATTTTTACTATAGCAGTTGTGTGACATTTTATGTAGTTTGTGTTATAGTCTTAATTTTGGTGCTTAGTCTAGTACTATAAATCTGGGTTTTAATTCTGTATGTCATTTCTTTTACACAGAATCCCTATATAACTTACGGGAGGAGAACAGACAGTTGAGAAAAGCTCATCAAGATATTCACACCCAGCTACAAGATGTCAAGGTAGGCTTTGCTTTGAGGAGAACTTTAAAGACCATTAGGAAATCGAGAAGTTTTAACAAGCCAGAAATGGACTATGCTGAATTCTTGTAATTTCTGTTACATGGCAAAAAGGAGGGGAATATGGCTGAACTGGATTTCTTGTCTTTTGCCACTTGCACTTAAGGTATATGCTCACTTAAAGACTAAAAAAAAGGGGAGGGAGGGAGAAGTATTTAGTATAGAAATTGGAAATTTGTTTTTGCAAGTTAAAAATTGTGTTTTGACAAATGAAGTTCGATGAAATTAATGTTTTCCAGTTTTAATTTTTTTTTTTCTTAAATGTCCATCAATAGCTACTCCAGCTTTTAACTTCAGTTATGCAAATCCTGGCCTCCAAATTTTCTCACTTGGTGTGCTTGCTTTCTCTGTTTAATTTTTAATGTTAAATAAATGCTGTCATTCCAACTCAGGATTTTCTTTTCGAAATAAATTTAATTAGCTTCCTAGTTCAAAATCCCCCAGGCTACCTAATTTACCTTTAGAATGAACTTTATGTGAAACGTGTAATGTTCTTCTTTTTGTGTAGCAACAGCATAAGAACTTACTCTCCCAACACAACCAACTTGTAGTGACATTGGAAGACCACAAGAGTGCACTAGCTGCTGCACAGGTCAGAAAGGAAAGCAGCTTCTACAAGCTCTTACCTTCCTAAAACTTCTTTCTCCTAGTTCAGCTGACTGTAATGTTATGCATGTAGCCTTTCGCATGGGGAACCTGCAGCTAGCACCATGCTGCACACTAGAGTTAAAGGGTTGCTCTTAAGAATAAGCTGCAACAAAGCACAGGGCTGTCAGAAAATAAAAACCTGTGTTACAAGCCCAGAGTGCATGTGTTACTGATAAAAAAAAGAAACAAAGAAAAAAGTATCTCTGCTTTCATGAGAGCTGTCGAATACCTTCCTTTCTCTGTCTTCTCTGGTAGAACTTCTGTTAGTTTAACATCCCACACACCAACATTCACATATATCTCTTATAAAGACCTGGATGCTGGTATACTATAAAATCTCTTTTTGTGTAGACTGGAAGGTTTATAAGGCTACATATACATCATGCATATATATACATCAGTGCAGCAGAGGTAGTCTATATATGGAGAAATATAAACTCCAGGGGGAACTCAAAATAGTTTAAAACAAGCAGCAGTATTACCTTTCCTAGATGTCATTTTCCAGTGAACTGTCCATGAAGCACAAGCTTTAGTAGACTATTGCAAGTTCAGTCAGCTGTGCTACTACAAGCTGTGTAGGCCACAGGGAATCTGAAAGTAGGAGTAATGTCGGAGCAGAGGAAGACTTTTGGTGAAAGATTGGAGGGAAGAGTAATGAGGCAGTGTGAAGTTATTTTTATTCCTGCCTAATTTTCTTCATTTAAGTATTTTCATGGTCCACAAAATCATTAGCAGCATTAAAACATTGGCTCTTACACCCCCCACCCCCCATGTTGCTTATGCATGTCAATATGTGTAGATATTCAAAAAATAGGGAAAGGCCAGGAAAGTCCCTCACAGAGTAAATGTATGAAGAATCCTAATTTCCAGTACTAAAATATGCTGGCAGCTAATTTAAAACTCTTTTCCCACTGGCTACGTTAGATACTTGGCATGTATCTGCTAACATCTGAAATTCCACAAGGGCAGCTGCAGGGTCTAATTTAAGGTTCACCAAATCCAAAGGGAAGCTCCATATACTTCTCCTGGCTTTGATTTAGTTCTTTAATTAGAACTCCTGTGTCACACAAAGCCTTCCTATCTGCAATCAGAATGTGGCATTTGGAGTGTGGAGGACCTTTCCTTAAGAAAAGATAGCACATTCTTTCAGAACAGAAGATACTTAGCACAGTTGCATGGTTCCTCCTGTTAAACAATTATAAAAAGTTCAGAAGGGATTATTGCTTAGAAACACAGCTCAGTAAATGACCCCTCTATTTCTAAGTGTATTCTAGACATTAAATATCAGTAGTCAATACTGCACTAATGAATTTGTGACCTGAATCTTTAAGGCATTGTAATCTTTGTACTTTTCCATTGCTCAGACAGCCAGACAGATTCATTATATATTTTTATAAACCCTGTCTTTCTGCCAGTATTAATACCTTTTAAGCTATGGCCTTGAATTGCAATGTTCAGCTTAGTGACTCATGCAGCAGAATGGAGTACCTGAATTCTGATCTGGACGTGCACTGTTTAAATATCCCATCCTTTAGTCTCTCTGCATGGTCAGTGAGTGGGGGAAAAAACCCAATCAGAATAAGTACGTCATATCTTAGTAAGTACGTCTTACGTTAACTAAATATTATTTTTTCCTCTAAAATTTCTTATTGGACTCTCCAGCAGTTAATCAGGAAGCAGAAGTATCCCTCTGGAATAACAAAAGTAATTACTGTGCATTCTGCTTTGCTTTTAGGCCCGTCTGTTTTAATGGATGCCATAGTCTTTTGAAGATGCTTTGAGGTGCGTCTAGCTTTGGAGGTGTTACGCATTGCATCATGTCAATCTGTAGCACTGTGGATATTGTTTTGTATGAGTATTATGCATTGTACATCAATGCATCATGCCCGTCTGCTGTACTATTGATTGCTATGATATCACATAACACACAAAATGACGTACAGAGTCACTGAGTGGAACCTGTAGCCAGGTTTTAACCTGAATTTTTAAAAGGATTATGAAATGCACCTCTGCCTTCAAAATGGGTAGTAAATACACCCACTACCTCCACTGAAACAACAGAGAAACCCACCTTTTGTATATGCAGCTGGTCATCTCAAAAATATTAGTTTACAAGATAAAGTTTTTTGTACATCTGCTGTATAGACAGGGACTGGTGTACCAACCAGCCTGGATTCTTATACTGGACCTTAAAGAATTTTAAGAATACCTTCATCTCATACAAAGTTAAACAGCAAATCAAATGACAACATTTTTCTGTTGCATTTCAGGAAGACTTTAGAAACTTACATTTTTTTTCTCTTCTTTTTCTTTTTTTATTTCTTTTTATCCTTTTCATCAACAGTGTACTATGACTTTCTTTGCCTCAATTCTGTATGTTGGCTGTTGTCTTGTGTAACATCTGTCTAAATGCTAAGGATTTCGCATTTTCATGTATATATACTTACTTTAAGACTACTGTTTCTGAAAGACCTGCACTTCTTTCTATCATAAACGAGAAGTTGTGGTGCTCTCAATTTCCCTCGCTTTAGTCTGCCAGGAGAACTGCATCATCCCCTTTAGATAATTCTGCTGCTTGGCATGAATAAAACAAATTGTTGTCTTTGTCCCGCAGAGATTTTTCTAATACACTTTGTATGCATGTGCACTTTGGCTGAAAAGATCGTGATCGATGTTATCTAGCGTGTGGAAATGACCAATTTTGAAAGCTCCTGTCGCTTCTTCTCCCTAGTATTTGCTCTAATGTGAATATCGAGTCTTTCTACCAGTGTCTTGCCAGCAAATTTACTCCAAGGTGACTATGTTTTATTAAGAAATTAATTTTGACACACTCTAATGTGTTGACTTTAGTCCCAGGTGGAGGAATACAAACAGTTGAAGGACACACTCAACAAAATACCAAGTTTCCGACAGCCTGAGAAGTTAGAACGACCAAATGAGCAACCAGAGGTGCGAGCACCGTCTCCCAGCAGTGACCTCCCAATGCACCGTGAAGATGCGGGTGAAGAGCAGAAGGAGGTATAAAGTACTGACTGGCTACAGACCCTATAGGAACTGGTTCTTATTCAGCAAAATACTAGCTATGTGCTTAACAACTATTAGAAACTTATATTTAATTGTACACATTGTCAGTTCTTGAGTAAAGTAGTAAGGAACAGTTTCATCTGAATGAGTAGTAGGAAAATATATTCATGATGATGTTTTCTCTCATGACTGTAAATGCACTTAAAACTGGTTTATGTAGCTCTTTTAAGTTGCTAAAAATCTTAATTTTTTTGAATGATAAGCAGTCTGTAGGACTTCAGATATGTCGTGTTAGAGAAGAGCTTTAACAGGTTCTGAAGAAATTGACTTTGTGAATTTTGTGACGTTTCAGTGGCACACTTAAAGTCTTATTTAAAATGGGCACACTGTCCACTGTTCAAAAAGATAAACAGCAAAGTTGTGGGTAAAGTCTGAAAGTTACAAAATCAGTTGTGGTTTTGTTTTACAAGAGTTCTTGGCCAGCAGAACCTACAGGAAACAAATACAGAGCTTCCCTTTTAGACACAGAATTGTAAGAAGTTTTGTTCCACTTCAAATAAAAGGAGGTTTGACCTACTTTATGATGCAGTTGTACAACAACTTCCATAGCTGTGCAGAGCTGAGAATAGCATGTGGGAGGAGGGGTAGCTTGTTCCAAAGCACGCATTTGGCTATCCTGAAGACAGGTTCACTACTGCAGGCTAGAATAAAGGCATCCCTATATCGTCCTTGGCTCTCTTGAAAATATGAAATCCCTATTCTATGCACACATAATCTTATGTATGTTTTACAGAATGAGAAGCCACAAGAGAGAGCAGAAATAAATACCCAGGAAAAAGATGACAGAGCGGAGCCTTTTCATCTGCAAAGAAGGCCTAATGAGGGCCAGCATTCCAAAGAACTAAATATTCAGGAGCAACAAGAAGCTGGAGAGGATGATGAGCAACATGTTGATGAAGTTGAAGAGGAACGCAAAAAAGAACTTGAAGAAGAAGAAATGGAGCAGGCAGGTCAGCCTGAGCACTTAGAGGAGGAACAGGATCAGGTTCCAGAAGAGCATGAATGGAAAAAACAGGAACAGAAAGAGGAGGAAACTAACATGTTGGGTGATCATGTTCATTCAGAGGTATGGAGTTCTTGGATTGGACTTGCTGTTTAAATGGAGGCATCTCTTACAGTTGCTGGCCCTGTATTGCAGACACTTATTTCTAGGTAAAATCAGTGTCATATTTACAGAAAGCTTGGGATTCAGACCGCTTCTTGTTTTTTAGATAAAATTGTTATATTTGTAGAGAATTTGGGATTCAAAGCACTTGTATGCATAGGATTCAGGCTCAGCTTCAGCACACATGTACTGCAGAGCTGGCCAAATGGAGCTTAATGAACATTAATTCTGCTGATAAAAAGCAAGAGATGGTAAAAAAAAGAGCAGTCAGATTGAATTCCGTCTCCTCTTTTAAGTTTGAGGCCTGTGGTAGCTGATGGGGAGAAGATAGCTGATGAGAATGAGACTTATCTTCATCACTTTGATAGAGATCTGTCCTGCCTTACTAATTTGATGCATCTCGGCAAATTGCAACGTGTTTCCTTGTCGGATATGCCTACCTTCTCTAAATACATTTCCATCTAAATGTTTGCTGTTGTCTGACAGGAAATTTTAACTGCAAGATGAACATGACTGAAATAGCCAGGGGAAATCAGTGCGCAGCAGTGGCAAGTCTTGCTTTATGCAGCTCTAAATAAAACCAGCATATCCTGGATTTACATCGCAGATGGATCTCCAGTGGAAAATATATTTTACTGATCTCACCTTAGGCTTTGCTAATATTCACGTAGCAGTTACTGCTGACTGTAAAACATGTGCAGTGCCTCACTTAAGGCTCAAAGCAACCCCCACTAAAATTACCAGTTAAATCAATGGAAACGCATTTGGTGTCTTAACTGCCAGCCATCAAATCTTACTGGTAATATGTTGGGGGCGGGGGGGGATTATTATTATTGATGTGTACAAAAAGCCTGGCTGCACCCAGCCAACTATCTCTTCCTCCTTCCCCGTGTCCTCCACAAATACCCCAGTACTTCCAGTTTGTGTTCAAAAAACTAATTAATCTTTAAGCAGTGACAAGAAAACTTAAAATAACTTTGGTGTAGTTTTGCCTAGTGCATGTTGCTTCTGTGTATTTTTTTCCCCTCTCGACGGGCTTCTGCATGCTTGTTTCTGATCACTGAAATTATGATTAATCTATGACTAACACATGTCTTTGACAGGTAACATCAATGAAAGCTGTAACAAATAGACATAAACCAGCTTATGAACAGCAGCTAGAGCAGCAACATCTTGCAGCCCAGAGAGCCGAGGAGGCTAGTCAGCTACGAGAACATCAGGAATCACTGCACCAGCAAAGACTGCGAGGACAGCTCTTATGGCAGCAACAGCTTCAAGAGAGAGAGCTTCAGCTGCAAAAACAGGCAGAACAAGGAGAAAAACTCTACAAAAGCCGGCTAAGGTTAAATTCTTTTACATGAGTTTGTCATGGTCTGTGCTCTAGGTTTTATGGCATCCACCATACCACCTTTGAAAAGAGTATGGTTTAAGGCTATAAGCCTAGACTGCCCAGAAACTAAATTCAGTGAGCCATATCTCATTTCCAAGGGTAAATCTGATTGCTATTTTAAGGTTTTTCCTTCCTGTTTTCTTCCTTCTACTTTGGAAGCTTGTGAAGTCTGGAGTGCATATTGCCCTGCACATCCTTGGGAGAGGTTAGGAGCTTCTGGCATACAATGCCCGTTGTCTTAAAGCTTGCTTTAAATTAGTAATTATTTTCCACTAAGCAGCAGTTATGATCTTGTAGTACTGAGGAGCTCCAGTATCAGATATTCATTTGCCTAAGCTAAAGTTCTGCTTAAATGAGAGATGCTGTTTTTAAGAAATTCAATAAGGACTTTCTGGACATGAGTGACTAATATTATTTGCATTGTAGAGACAGGAGCATGATTTCAGGAGAAACCAACACCCTGTTACTGTCAAAGTTACCGTAATTGCAGTTGTGTTCATTGTATTGTATCTTCTAAATGCCTTTCACCCTCTCTGTTATGCTTCCTTATGTTTCTGCTTATTTTAAAATTGTTAGTGACAATTTTTTGTCTTTTTGAATCTTAAGCTCGTTTTCGTTGCTGAAACACTAAAACATTAACTTCACCTGTGTTCTAAAAGGATTTTGGTATGAGAAAGCCTTTTGTAAATTGATAGTCACAATATTCAGTCCTGCAAGAACAATCACACAAGTAAACCCCTTTCAAGACGAAAGCTAAAACTGCTTATTCATTAAAATAAGCAACTGCATAGTCTGTCTAAGACTCTGTCTGAGAGGGGTCCAGTTCATAGTATTTGTACTTTAATTATGGAATATGCTACCTTAAGAGTTTTAAAAATACAAGGCAGTTCCCATCAGTCTACAGAATTACAGAATAGTTTGGGTTGGAAGAGACTTTCAAAGCTCATCTAGTCCAACCCCCTGCAGTGAGCATGGGCATCTTCAACTAGATCAGGTTGCTCAGAGCCCTGTCCAGCCTGGCCTTGAATGTTTCCAGGGATGGCGCATTTACCACCTCTCTGGGCAACCTGTGCCGGTGTTTTCACCACCTTCATTGTAAAAAAAGTTTCTTCCTTGTATCTGGTCTGAATATCCCCTCTTTTAGTGTAAAACTGTTACCCCTTGTCATAGCACAACAAGCCCTGATAAAAAGTTGTACCCATCTTTCTTATAAGCCTACTTTAAGTACTGAAAGGCCATAGTAAGATCTTCATGGCACCCATTCTGGCAGGAGCTGGGAAAGACAGATTCAGTAGGAAACACACTTTTTGAAACTGATGTAGTGGCATTTAATTTTCCCAGCCAACAGGCTCATTATGATAACGTGGACCAGGATATTGTACAGGGGGAAGAAGAGCAAGGTATTCAGGAAGAGGAAGGAGGTAAGATAAATTTTATATCCCTACTGTGTTCAGAGGTTCCCTGTGTACTGTCTTTCATGCAAGATTTTAATACTCATTTCATATCCAGTTTGGATTCAAGTGAAATATGAATGTGCAATTTAAAACCAGTAGCTCAGATGACACTGACTGAGCTGAGTGAACTACAGGAATTACTAAAGATCATATCCACATTCCTGAAAGGAAAAGTGTCCTGTTGATTGGGCTTTGTGGTTACATTCCTGGCTCTGCCTATGACTTTGTTTGATCCCTCCAAAGTATATAATCTTTTAGTGTCAGTTTCCTACTAGCAGTAAAACAATTCTATTAGCATTACATGTTTAGGTAAACTTTCTAGGTAAAAGCTACATACTTCTAAAAGCGTGTGGAAGTTGTTGTATAGGAGACTTTTAGAATGGCTAACCAGAAACTGCAGTAATACAATAATAACATAAAAAATTTGTCAGCTTATGAACGTGACAACCAGCACCAGGATGAAGGTGAAGATGATCAAAATAATGCAAATGAACAGCAAGAACCAGAACATCAAGTAGAAAATCAGCAGGCTGATCGATCAGTGAGTATGAATTAAGATGCTATGGATTGCAGTTGTTACTGGAGTGAAAACCCAGTAGTCTCATCTAACATAATTGCGTTACAGAAATAAGATGAACCAGACATCAGGTAGGAAGACAAGTTTGACAGCTTAAAACTACATCTAAGATCTATTTAAAGGTGTTCTTACTGATTTGGGCAGAAATTAAAAAAAAAAAAAAGCTTCCTTGTTCGAAGCAAGTTGCTTTTTTTGTCCACATGCCTTTGATCTGTGCTTTACGTGGAATAAAGGATTTGGACTTAGCTGGGACTTGTACAGTTAAACTTAACAGGAGTGGTCAGTCAGAGTGGTGGTGGTATTTTTCATGCTATCATTAGCTGCCAGGGTAAGAGCCAACTCAGTAGCCACTGAAACCAGCTGGAATCAGTACAGAAGTGTGAGATCTTGCAAGAGGACATACCTCAGCACTGGACACAGCTGTCAAACCAACTGCACAGAGATCTGGATGCAGAAGATTGCAGTCCTCTGCCACCCCCTAAGTTCCACCTTACTTGGTGGTATGGAACATGAAGCATATCATCTTTATTCCCCCTGCTCCTCAGCAAATTAAATTGTATAGTATTTCTAAGGCATCTTTTACTTGTCAGCTATGAAGATATCAGAACTACTTTTACTGAATGGTAAGCAGAAAGAAAATGCGTGTTTTCTGAAGGGCAACATATGATGAAAAGTGACTGTTGCTTTCTCTTGTTTTATTATAGACATAGACAAGGTCAATATTGCAGGGCAGGCTGGTACTGAAAGATCACATCAGCTTTTTTGAGCCATGAATATTTTAACTCTTATCTTTTTTCATCTGCTGTTATCGGGCATTGTCAGTTGTCAGATAGTCAGTAAACCAAAGTAGTTTAACAGCCTCTGTGAAATAAGTCATCAGGTTCAATCTGGGTTTTAGCAGACATATACCCATGCTGCAGTTCTGTCTGTGTTCCATGCCGAGATCCCTTTCTTTTCAGGAACTGACACTTCTGCATTGGCTAGGGCTTCATCTAGTGACCCCTGATGCCTGTAAAAAGATTCCGGGTAGTTCCAGTGGTCATGGAGTTGGCTCTAACATAGCTCATGCTACAGTAGCTTTTACGTGAAATGGAATTTGACTGTGGGGTAAAAATACATATTTAATATTCATCTCTGAAAATTACAGAAGACAGCCATGGAAGATGTGAATCCTGCTGATGACCCCAACAATCAGGGAGAAGATGAATTTGAGGAAGCTGAGCAAGAGAGAGAAGAAAATGTACCAAATGAAAAGCACAAGCAAACCAGTCAGAAACAAGGACACCCAGGAATGGAAGAGCACCTGGTGGTCAGTAAAGGGAAAGGACCCCTGTATTTACCTTCATACAAGCCCCTGTGAGAACACTCATTCCTACAGTTGTCATGTTTTTGCAGAAATCCCTTGTACACTACTTCCATGCCATCACACTCCGTCAACTGTGAGCAGTGATGCCACTTTCCTTCTATAGCCATTCCAATGAACGCTGTTCATTTAAACTGTGTTTTAATGTAAACTCCTTTAGGCAGAGATAATCTGTATTTTTATGGCATTAGTCTTTAGTCGTGTGAATGTTTCATTGTCTTCCTGCTTAGCATGGAAAGTCTTGCTTTATTCTGTGAAGTGATTTCCATTATAATCATTCTTCTATCTACTTTTTAATTTAGGGCAGTTCTAAATCATGTAGCTGGGCTATCATTAACGCTAATGAATGCACTATAACTTCTTATGCTATTATAGTTACTTTAGCTTTACATAAAGTTTTAGTTCCAGAACAAGAAGCTGTAACCTTCAGTCTTCTGAAAGTTAATAGGCATGCACAGAGAACTCAATCTTTATCTGATCTTTCTGCAGATGGCAGGAAATCCTGACCAGCAGGAAGATAATGTGGATGAACAATACCAGGAGGAGGGAGAAGAGGAGGTAAGAAAACAGACATAGGATATATATGGATTCAGGTCAGAGCACATCTCCATTAACATTCAATACTGATAGCTTTTATAACTACAAGATGAATCCAAATCAGTTTGTCTGATTAAGAAACCTGGAAGTCCTTGTCGTTATTCTGCTGACCACTTCTGGACACTTTTAGTGTTATTCATGCTTATATGCTACTATCTATTAGTCTTCCATGCAACACGGTATTAATTGTGCAATAATTATAAAGATTAAGCCATTCACAGCGCAAGGTGAAATTCCTGAAAACCTCAAGCTCTCTCTGAAGGTCACTGAAAACCTCATTAAATTTGCATCTCTAGTCACACACTGCTGTTCTAGGGAAACTACTTCCTTGGCCAGTTACTCCTTACTTCTGGCTTTGATTTATCTGTGCTCCTCCCAAGCAATCCAAGTTATGTAAGCCCCCACTGTTCCTGGAGTGTGTAGGGAGGCTGTCAGCACTGTTGCTTCGAACTGGAGGAGGAAAGGCAGGGACTTCTTCCTTGGTATGTTGAATAGCATGCTTGTTATGCATGCAGTAGCATAAGACACCCTGCAGTGCTTCAGTACATACTTAATTGCTATTTTCTACTTCATACATAATGATTTACAAAAAGCAATAGCATTGGCTACTCATTACTCCCTTACGGGGAACGCTTTGTCTAGATTAGCTGGTATACGCAATTACAATGCACCAGTTCAAAATACAGTTACTTAAAAAAACACAAATACTTAAATTGAACCAGGTCATTAGTAACTGCAAGTAGTTGGCCGTTGGCAAATACTCTTTGGCTTATGGGAAGTAATTTAATACATGCTTCATAAAGGACTATGAACAGTGTGCTTACTGGAAATATTAAAGATTGAACAGTGATTGAATGAGCTATCAAGACACAGAGTTAAAGTGCTGTTAGTTGACTCAAATACTATACCTGGCTGTTGTTCAGATCCTTCCTGTGTATCCCTCAAAGTGGTCTGGGTTTAATGCACTTTTGCTGGCAACAGTACCAGACCCCAAGGAACTTGTGCACAGGCAGCTCTGCCTCCTGTTGGACACAACTGCTAAATATCCTAGAATGGTTTGGGTTGAAAGGGACCTTAAAGCTCATCCAGTTCCAACCCCTCTGCTGTGGGCAGGGACACCTTCCACTAGATCAGGTTGCTCAAAGCCCTGCCCAGCCTGGGCTTGAACACTGTCAGGTATGAGGCAGCCACAGCTTCTCTGGGCAACCTGTGCCAGTGCCTCAGCACCCTCACAGGAAAGACTGAATCTTCCTTATAGCTAATCTAAATCTCCCCTCTTTCAGCTTAAAGCCATTACCCCTTGTCCTGTCACTACCCTACTACTGCTGTTGCTGAGGAGGCTGTTGCTGCTGCTGTTCAGGAGAATGCGACTGCAGCTGCTAGAGGGAGGGAGCCTTTTGGAAAGCAGCAGTCTTGTTCTCACTCTTTGTGGCAGCGGGAGATGGCAGCACTGAGGGGCTAATGCTTCCCAGGCAGAGGAAGCTGGGTAGACTTACAGAAACATTTTACCCAGCTTGCAGGCCACCATTTGGAGCAGATACACAGAACCGCATTCTCCAAAAGTAAAGCAAGTTCACTTAGAAAAGCACACCTCTCTCAAATTTACACCTAACTATAAAAGGGGGACGGGAGTGAGGGAGAGTGCTGACATAAGTGATAGATCTAGACGTGAACATCTGGGAAACAGACTGGGTGTGGCCTGCTCTCTCCAAGGAGAAGGTTGGGAGAGATTATTCCTCACTCCCAATCTCCCCTTGCTCTGTTGTGTTTTTCTGGGAGCCATTGACAGAAGGATCGTTCAACTGCTGGGACACAGACAAAGTTACCATGAAATACCGACATTGCATATCAGAACTGAAATAGTTGTAGATATCCACCAAAGTGTTGGACTTTGCTGTGTCATGACACTCTTACTATGACGGACAAAGAGAAAATAATACACATGTAAAGATAAAACATTGAATGGAAATCTAAATGTGGTTTAGTTTTTTTTCCTTCTTTAACCTCTCCATGTCCTCTCCTCCCTTTCTTTTGAATCTTCATTCTCTAAAAGTGTTGCTGTGAAGACAAGTACATTTATGCCACAGGCTACTTTTTTAAAGGAAATTAAAATATACAGAATATTCCTGTGCTTTGTAGATTCAGGAAGATTTGACTGAAGAGAAGAAACGAGAACTGGAACGCAATGCCGAAGAGCCATATGGCGAAAACGATGAAAATGTAAGTACTGTGTAAACCCCCAAACTCTGTGACATGATTAAACACTTACCATTAACTGTTCCTGCCCCCAATCAGGTGGATGAAAAGAATAACAGACGGGCAGACCAAGAGCAAGAAATCCAAGAAGAGAACAATCGGAAAGAAGTTCATGAAGAAAATTATGAGGAGGAGGAAGAGGAGGAAGAAGGCAGAGCTGTTGCAGCAAAAACTCATAGACGAGGGGAGATGTAGTCTCTCTTTTTTCAGCATTCAAATTCCTGGTTTTGTTGTTTTGGTTTTTAAAACCCAACAACTTTTTTAGGATATTTAATTTCAAAAAAAAATTTGTTTTACACTTTTTACTTTTCTATTAGATGCTCTCATACGTTTATATGAATATGGTATTTTGATACTCTAGATTAGGATTTCTTTTCTATTAAAGCTGTACATAAACAGACATCATATATGTTTAATTTTTGTAATTCTGGGCATGTTTTATAAAGGCCATTTTGGAATACACTTTCACCTTGTCCAAGCCTGACTGAGACATTTGGTCTCATTTCAGACACATTCAACACCTGCAGGAATATCTCTAGTGCCTACACCCCGTTGCCATTAGTCACTCCAGCTCTCCCTGTCTTCCATGACAGCTTGTGTGACTAATGGCTGGGGCCCCCCCACCAAGGCACAATCTGCGGTGCTTGTAGAGGCCCAGGGGTACTTCCATTCATGAGAATGTCACGAGATTCTTCAAATCCTTGAAGATAAGCACATGCCTAGCTAATTCAGGACCAGGCCTTTTATAGGTGCAGAACACTTACAAAATATGCAAGTTCTACAAGCCTTCAAAATACAGCCAGGTTAACAGCTGTTAATTTTGGCAGCTGTTAATCTGCGGTGCTTGTAGAGGCCCAGGGGTACTTCCATTCATGAGAATGTCACGAGATTCTTCAAATCCTTGAAGATAAGCACATGCCTAGCTAATTCAGGACCAGGCCTTTTATAGGTGCAGAACACTTACAAAATATGCAAGTTCTACAAGCCTTCAAAATACAGCCAGGTTAACAGCTGTTAATTTTGGCAGCTGTTTATATACAGTTAAATCATGCATTTGTTTTAATGAGCATACCTAGGTACTGCAATTACATGCACTACATAGCAGATAATGCAAGTGGTGGTGTGCTGAGATGTGAACTAGAAACCAATTTAGACTTGAAGAGCTGTTACGCCAAATCAAAACACTACAGCTGTCACATGAATGAAGATTTACAGAAGGAACATTTTTGTTCTCCTAGTTAATGTATTAAAATATTTGACCAGAGAAATATAATTGCATCGCCTCAGTGACATGCCTTCTAGAGACTGGAGAGAAGGTTAAGGTGTATTGACCAAATTGCTGTGATTGGTGCAAGATGTTGAACTAAGGCCTTTACCTCCTTTTACTTATTTATTATAAGTCTATGCTGGAGGGATTTTCTGCATCCCCAAGTGTGAAAATCAGCAGAGGGACAAATCCCACAGCATCTTTTTGACCAGTGAACATCTCTAGCACCGCATGCCAAAATGTAGGGGGTGGGGGGAAATGACACAAAACCTGTGCCTTGGTAAGCTACTATGAATATAATCACAGTGCACAAGTAGATTCAATGTTTGTATTGGTACAAACCCCTGTTCTTTAATATATGTTAAAAGGAGATTAGGAATCTGGATCTCCCAGGCTCTGCCCCATTGCTGAAAAAGGCACATGGTAGCTTCCCATCAAAGTGTGTGATAATATGTAAAAGAAGAGGGTTTAGGATTTCCCCGTTCTTAATAATGATGCGTAGCAATGGTTTTAGTTTAACTTCTAATGTGAATGTAATTTAATTCATTTTTCTACTAACTCAGTTATGTTTTATAGTTGGTTTCCATTCTTTGCAATTTTCCTAAGCGTCCCAGACACAGTGCTTACATTTCATGGGAAGATTTTTGTCAGCAAGTATTTTGGGGTTTTAAGCTACCATAAGTCAGATATACCTTATGTATAAAAAAAGTTTACATGATACTGTAAAATGTATAATATGTACATAATCTTCAGAATACAATTATTTTGGTAAATTGGCCTGTATTTTTAATGTCACGGTTGCAGTATTTAATTATTTGAGGCATAATAAAACTTGACTGCAGTCAATAAACTAGAATGTAGTTACTGATCTTTCACGCGTATGATTGTTTGATTTATTTTTTTAACAAAGTCCAGCTGAGAAAGGGGAGGAAGCTTGGAGCCACAATGGCATTTTTGGCAAGGGGGAGCAGGGTTGGGATCAACACTAGTGGCAGCTTTCGCCTTCTGTAGTCATTGCAATTGAAATCCTGCTTCAGCTAGAGCAGTAAAGTTTTTTGCATCAATCAGATCTGTGAGAAAGGAAGAGGGAAGTATGGAGGGAGGAGAGCCCAAGCCCACTTCCACATGTTTTTTCCCCCCTAACAGGACCAATTGTGCTCCCTTCTGCTTGCTCCATGGTGTGGGAAGCCATGCATGCTGCCCATGTAGGGCTTACTGGTGGCAGGGAGAGAGCTCTTCCTCCTTGGCAGAGGGAAGAGACAACCACTGAAGGCTTGGGCATATGCCACGGTACTGCCTTGTCACAGTATCTTGCACTTGGAGTGAGCTGTACACTGCAAGCACTAACATTAGTGGGTTCAGTAGTGCCTGTGCTATTGTGGGGAACACAGACTGCCTTCTACCACATTTACAGTGCAGAAAAAGCCACTTCCAAAGTCACCTACAGGGACAAAGTTATGCACCAGCACAGCATCCTCACACCAAAATAAGCTCCTCCTTTTCTGCAATTGTTTCAGCAATTCACTGGCTGACAGTGCCAGTGAGGTGCTCGTGTGTCCTGCCCAATATCCCTGGGCACACAGCATGTTTATTAATCAGTTTTGATTATGTCCTTTTGTTTACTGTCAGGCTGCAGGGCTTTGCTTGGATAACTTGCAGCTCCAGCAAGTGTCCAGAGAGACAAACTGCTGCCCAAACAAGGAGATGCAGAGTAAGGCTTCTATTGTGTATTGTATGAGCCAGTATTCACAGCAGATGCTGTATTTGCTACAGCAAGCATAACAAGTTCATGTCTAATGTCATTAGGCCAAGAAAGTCCTAACAAAACCCTGTTCTGTCCTTACCCAAGGGCTTGTTCACTTCAGACAAGAGTGAGTTCACTGAAGATCAGCTTTCTGAGTAAGGCTTCAGGTGTGGTTGACAACAACCTTGTGTAATCTTAGTAATATGCCTCAGCGACCACTCAAGCAACAGCTAAATCTACTAAAATCTACTAAACGCCAGTGGACTAAGTTAAGACTGGCTCTAACCCAAGCTGAAAAGGGAGTTAGATAGCTGTGCTTTAAAGTGAACATTAGGAAAATGGCTACGATTACAAATGAACAGAGAGATACACTTGTCATTGAAGTACAAACTAGTTTCTGACAAATTTTAGCCTTTTGCCGCAGGTTTTAATGGCAAAAGAGCCGCAATGCAGTCATTGATAAAAATGACCTTCACTCAGCTTCTCAAGGTTGAGCATGTAAAATGTGTTTACTCTGTCTGTGCACAGAACTTCTTATTCTGCTGTATGCAGGAAAAAAATCTATATTGTTACAGCTAAAAGCAGGGTGAAGGGAATGAGAAACCCAAAGCTGCATATCCAGAGCAAGATAAAAAGTTGCCTTCAGTACGCTTGACACATCATCAGCCTTCAAACAGGTTTCCTTTCCCTTCCATAGCTCTTGGAATAGTTCTTTGCTGGTTCAAATGCAAAATTATTCATAATTTCATAGACTTACAGAATGGTTTGGGTTGGAAGGGACCTTAAAGCTCGTATTTTTCCAACCCCACTGCCACAGGCAGGAACACCTTCCACTAGACCAGGTTGCTCAAAGCCCCGCCCAGCCTGGGCTTGAACACTGCCAGGGATGGGGCAGCCACAGCTTCTCTGGGTGACCTGTGCCAGCGCCTCACCACCCTCACAGTAAAGAACTTCTTCCTCATATCTAATCTAAATCTACCTTCTGTTAGTTTAAAACTATTCTCTCTTGTCCTATCACTACATGCCCTTGTATCTTCTTATCACCATCACTTCTAAAGCGTCGTGATGGCCAATTTGGGGGAAGACACAAGCCAAAGAGACAGGTAATACAACAGTCAACGGCTAATCTGAACCATGTTCACCACTACCTCCCAGCCATAATCCTGGCCAAGGTCTGACTCAAGCCACTTTTCTGTAGATGGGATGCACACATGACTAGGAGTCGGTCATCTTACTGCATAAACAGTGGAGAGCCCCCAGGGCCTCTGGAGGCTTTGCATGCAAAATCTCCCCTTGAGCAGGGTTTTGTCACTAATAAGTTCACACAGTTTCTCCCCTGAGAGATTCTCCCAAATATTACATTTGTCCAGGAGGTGCAATTACAGCTTTAAGTATGAATTGAAGTAGATTAAAAAGGTGAGCTTTAATGCAAGGTTAAACTTCACAGGGAATTTTATTCATTGCCTTATGTAAAGGGAACAAAAGAGTCCTAGATGGCATTTTGGAAAAGGCAGCATCCTTAATCAATGAGTGAACGATATTGTTAGCTGTTCATCAGAATGAAATAGCCAAAATTGTGTAAAAATGAGATTATGAAATTAATTCATAGACTATTTGGGATCCATTATTCCACTGGTATCAAAGAGAACTGCAAGACCTGCAGTTTCTCCCTGACCGGTAGAAAAACAATTTTTCTTGGCAGGAACTGCAAAGTACCTTTCTAAAGTAGTAATTGTGGCAAATAACCCAGGTCAGCTGGTGCAAGATAGTCCTGATTGTAGAAGCCCTGAGCTGTTTGTGTACAGGAGATATTGCAAGTTGAATGTAAACAGCCCTCTCACAACACAGGGAGCCAATGTTCTCGTCATTTATTGTGATAGGCGAGAAATGCAATGGCTCCTATTAAGCTGAGGTGGTTTATAACACTAAACAGTGTCCTCACACACAAACAAATCCTACCTGGCTTTGGCTTTATTAGTAATTTCATACTGTACTGCCAAAAATTAAAATCAGTATCTGGGAAGACATAGAAGGGATCAGAGTATTCATTTAAAAGTTGGAGCAGAGCACAAATGGGAGGTGGAATATTGCCAGACACCTTGGTACACCTCAGAATGATCTATTAAAAGCAATAGTGGTGCCAACAAAACCAGCTGTATTTAAGTCAGGGCCTGTGCCAGGAAAATTATATTAA